TGAGCGGCCTGAGCACCGCGCTGCCCGACCAGCTGCTGGAGGACGGGCTCTTCCGCCAGTTCCAGCGCTTCGCGAGCGGGGGCGCCGGCGACATCAGCGTCAAGCTCTCCCACACGCCCGAGCTGGGCCGCGTTGCGTACGTCAACTTCCGGCACCCGGGGGACGCCCGTGATGCCCGCAGGCACGCCCGGGCCCGGCAGCTGCTTCTCTACGACCGTCCCCTCAAAGTGGAGCCTGTGTACTTGCGTGGGGGTCGCAGGAGCCGCACACCCCCGCCTGTGCCCTCCCCAGAGCCTCTGGGCTACCTGCCACCCATCCACAGCACCTACCAGTATAAACAGAGGTCGCTGTCGCCTGTTGCCAGCCCATTGCTGAGGGAGCCACGGCCCCGGCATGCTCATGCGGCCGCTGCAGCCTTCGCCTTGGAGGCTGCTGCCCTTGGGCTCTCCCTGGAGCGGGAGAGGGCACTGGATTATTACGGGTTGTATGATGAGCGTGGCCGACCCTATGGCTACCCCATAGTGGCTGAGGAAGATCTGATGCCAGAGGATGACCAGAGAGCCACTCGAAATCTGTTCATTGGGAATTTGGATCATAATGTCTCAGAGGTGGAGCTCAGACGTGCTTTTGAGAAGTACGGCATCATTGAGGAGGTGGTGATCAAGCGCCCTGCTCGAGGCCAAGGTGGGGCCTATGCATTTCTCAAGTTCCAGAACTTGGATATGGCCCACCGGGCCAAGGTCGCCATGTCTGGCCGGGTTGTTGGCAGGAACCCCATCAAAATTGGCTATGGAAAAGCCAATCCTACTACACGACTCTGGGTGGGTGGCCTTGGACCAAGCACATCCTTGGCTGCCCTTGCTAGAGAGTTTGATCGCTTTGGTAGCATCAGGACTATTGATTATGTGAAGGGGGATAGCTTTGCCTATATTCAGTACGAGAGCCTGGATGCTGCCCAGGCTGCCTGTGCGCAGATGAGGGGCTTCCCCTTGGGTGGACCGGATAGGAGACTTAGAGTGGATTTTGCCAAAGCTGAAGAGACAAGATACCCCCAGCAGTACCAGCCTGCACCACTCCCAGTGCACTACGAGCTGTTACCTGATGGATATAGCAGGCACAGAAGCCTAGAGCAAGACTTAAGGGTGAGAGATAGGACTCCTCCACATCTCCTGTACTCAGATAGAGACAGGAGCTTTGCAGAGGCAGATTGGGCTAGTCCTGCCAAAAATGCTGAGCGAAGAAATAACTTGGAGAGCTACGGCCGATCTGTGCGTAGCCGAAGCGGAGAACGTTGGGGTAGTGACAGTGACCGCAGTGTGCCCAAGCCTTGGGAAGAAAGGCGGAAACGCCGGAGTCTTTCTAGTGATCGTGGCAGGATTACTCATTCGCCTTATGAGGACAGAGGCAGGACAAAGGCCAGTGGGCCAGCTTTAGATCGCAGCCCAGACAGGGTTCGCAAAGAGAACAACACTACAGAGTCTGGAACAGAGAGGGATCAGAGTAACTCCCTTCAGAACAACCGGCACGTATCTGAGGAGAAACCACATCGTGAAACTTCTGATCTTCCTCAACCTAAAAAAAGGGACAGCGAACGCAATCATCGGACTGGTGAATCGGAATCAAAAACTCACGAGGAGCCAAAATCTGAGACCAAAAAAGTAAAGAACTTGTCAGAATATGCTCAGACACTGCAACTTGCTTGGAATGGGCTTCTTGTGCTAAAAAATAGCTGCTTCCCCACGTCTATGCACATCCTGGAGGGAGACCTAGGTGTAATCAGTGGGCTCTTAAAAGACCATTCATCTGGTGGGAAGTTAACACAGCTCAAGATTGCTCAAAGACTTCGGCTTGACCAGCCCAAGCTGGATGAAGTAACTCGCCGTATTAAACAAGGCAGTCCTAATGGTTATGCTGTGCTACTGGCTACCCAAGCCACCCAAGGAGGGGTAGGGGCTGAAGGGACCTTTCCTGTTGAGCCTGGCTTGCAGCGAAGGCTTCTCAGGAATCTGGTCTCTTACTTGAAACAGAAGCAGGCTGCTGGGGTGATCAGCCTGCCTGTGGGAGGGGCAAAGAGCAGAGACAGCACAGGCATGCTTTATGCTTTCCCTCCCTGTGAATTCTCTCAGCAGTACCTTCAGTCAGCACTAAGGACATTGGGAAAGTTAGAAGAGGAACATATGGTGATAGTTATAGTCAAAGACACTGCCTAGCCCCCACTGTCCCTTCAGATTCCATGTTTTCTTTGTGTGTGTCACAGCCCCATTGTTTTTAAGACCAATCATTTTTGCAAAGGCCCAGTAAACCTTAAACAAAATTGTGAGATTTTTAGTTTCTAATTAATTTTAATACCATTTGAATAGATCTCATTTTATTTGTTTTTAATATGTGACACTGTCTACTGTGTTCTGTATTTTTATTTTTTAACTGTATGGAAAGTTGTCAGTAAAGCCTTGTTCACTGATGGATTTTTAATCTTGTGCAGTGTCTTGGTTTTTATGGCCCAGTGAGGGGCTGGTTCCCTCACCCAAGAGGTAAAAGATGATTACTCCCTCCTTTTCCAGTGTCTCAGAGCTGTACATCCCCGTCCTCTCTCCAGGTGCTCTGGAAGGTAGGGGGAAGGCTTCTTAATGATGTATGAGAGAAATGTAAATGTCAATATTCTTGATCTGTTTGCTTTGTATATTTTAATTTGAATTTTGACTTTTCTGCTAAATCTCCAGTATATGATAGATGTTTCCCGGGTAGATATTTCCAAAGAAGTGAACCCTGATGAAACATAGAAATTAACTTTTATTAACAGCCATTTAACACTTGAGACAGAAGCTGCTAGAAAACATTCATTTTCTTACCCATTCGGTCACAGAGACTCAGAGCACCAAGAAGCAACAAAATATGGAAAGGCAAGGCTTGACATTCCTGATAATTTGAAGGGGGGGGGGAATGAGGCAGGACTAACCCTCCACACCTTTCCTTGCTGGAGACAGAACTCCTGGGGTCTCTCTTATAAACAAAGGGTGCAAGCTTAATTTCTTTGCATAGGGCAGAGCTTGACTCATTGCACTCCTTTATTAAAAATTAACTGCCAAAGTTAAATTGTTTGCAGGAGTCTAAAGGAGGAAAATACCTTTGATGGTTTAAAAACAATTATGTACTGTTAGAATTAATTTTCCTAAGATCCTGAGAAGTCTTATCATGGTAAGAGCATAAACAAAGAATGGAATCTGTGAGGTGGTTGTCAGATTAAGAAGCTAGGACGTTTGCCTCTGATGTCAGTATCTTAAGGCTGGGGGTTAGCCATTCCAAGAGTGCAAGTCTGATAGTCTTTAACCACAGTCTAGAGACAAGTTTCTAGGATTTACAAAAATTTAGCAGTTTGCCTTTGAGTTTCCAGACTTTTTTTCTATTGTAAATCACTGTGAGAGGCCCCAGAATCTTGCACAGCCAGACATGCAAAGTTGCCAAAGGTCCGTCTAAATCTGTGCTGTCAGATAATAATACTGGTATGACTGGTAACGGAAGCTATGTAATTGGAAAGGTTCATTCACTCTAATAAAGCCCATGTAGCCTGCAGAGATTCAGACCAGGGACAGCACTGGTGGTGCATGTTTGGTTGCTTGATTCCGAAGGATAAACAATTTGTTGCTTTTATTTATTACTGTACGTAAATTAAAAGTTGCTCTATTGGATGAGTTTATTAATGAGGCTTCCAGCTAGACTCACTTTTGTTACAGGTCAGCCAGATTGAAAGCCCTAGTCAACCGCGTTGTGGCCAAGTCCCTGAGTGCTCTGGTCGTGTTTTGATGATCCCTTATGTAACCTTTCAGCACGTTGAAGCCTTTTGTTTTCTGAAACTAATGATGCTAGTCTACAGGGTGAGCATTCGAGTGCACACATTCGCGACTGAGGGAAGACAGTGCAGTTATGTCCCGCCTGTTATTGCCGCGCCCTAATGCACTGTGTGTCTTCTAGTGCCTAGCCTGGTTGGGTGGAGTGGCAGCGGTGGCTTGTTTGTTAGATGACCTCAGCTGTCAGAAGGCAAGCTGCAGAGGAGACGCTTCCCTGAGGCCAAAGCCAGAAAACTGTTACTTGAGCTCTATAAGGCCACGGCCCCCGTCAATCATCGATAGACCCTCAGGTCACGAGGCCTTGTGCTTTGGCCAGTGAGTGCGCTGCCTGATTTGCTGTTCAGTGGGGCTGTGTGTTTATGAATGGAGACCATCATTTCCTAGATGTAGCGCTGCCCCTGATGTCATGCGTGTTCAGCTACCAAAACTAGACAATTCAGTGACTAGGAGTTTGTGTCTGGCATAAAACATGTGGCCCAGATGGCACAGGGCAAGCACTGGTAAGCAATAGTGCACTGGTCCTGGGGTGTGATGCTCAGCTCTAGAACTGTCCCACCCCCATACGCATAACTCTTCCTTCAAGACAGGGCCTCAGTGATGATGCAACAGGAGCCTGGGAGGCATGATGGGCAGTAATGTCATGTGACTGTAATGTGGCTGTAGGAGACCAATCCCCCATCATGTTATTCATATCTACACTGGACCATAGAAATGTAGTTCTTAAAGGTGACTCCTGGCTGACCATTCTGAATGGATGAGATTTGGGGGGCAGGTCTGAGTGATAATGGAGTCCAGACTAGTCTCTGCCCTTGGGAAAGGCACCAAAACAATTGCCCCCACTTCTAAAACTAGACCTGGGAGCTGTACTGCAGAGTTTTGCTATTTTAGTAAAAGCAAAACACCAGCATCACAGTACAAAGGGTTCTGCTGTGGCTACACTAGGGTTTGCCACTGGTTTTAACAGTAGTTCAGTGAGAGGAGCCCCTTTGGCTTGATTTCTGGGCAGTCATGCTCTGCTGGAGAACCAGGTTGCTAGGCCAGAGCTGATTAGAGCACAAACTGTTTAGTCATGACTCCAGCTGCAACCCTCTGATGGCGCTGCCCCCAAGGTGAACAGCCTGGCACTTCCCCGTGGGAGAGTTCGAAAAACACCTGATGCCACGTAGAGAACAGCAGCCGCGTTCTGTTTTGTTTGTGGTGTTGGACCAGCAAGTCACCCCGGCTGAAGTGGCCCTGGAGGCAGATGTGAGGGTGTCGACCATGCACAGAACCACTTCGTAACAAGCTTGTGGAGGGGGTTTAAGTGGCCCAAATAGTTAATTTCTCGAGTGTAGGCCAGTGAACAACAACTGATGATGTCCCACTGTGGGAGGGGGCCAGAGAGTAAAGGCCTCACCCCCTGTGCTTCTGCTGCCAGCAGCCTCTGTCCACAGGGAGCTCAGGCCCCCCGGGGCACCAGGTTTTTAAGTTGCCCCCCCCCATGGACTGGCTCTCACCTGGCACCCCACACTGCTGCCTCTGATCTGGTGAGAGTGAAGCTGCAGACTATAGAATAGTCCACTAAGAATTCATGTGGTTAGTCAACTCTTCTACTCCCCGATAGCTAACATTCCTACCCTAGGTGGCACTGGCCTGAATCCGAGGAAGAGGAGTGAGAAATTAACCCGCTTCTCTGCTCTCTACTTCACCTCATTCTTCCTGTGCACGTCCCATTCGGAAATCTAGGGAGAGAGGAACGCAGCTCCAGCCTTGCTCTGATCCAGAGTGAAATTTTCAGCGATGCTTTTTCAACCACAGCCAAGTGGTGGTATGTTCTTTGAGCACCAGGCTGTATATGACTTGTTCCTTCCCCTCCCCCTCCCAGCCTCTATCAGAAACAGGTAGAGGGGGGGAAGAAGGAGGGGTACTTCAAAGTGGCAGCACCATGTGCAGCTGGGTGTCCCAGGCTGCACACAGCATTTCAAAACAGCAGCAGCATGTGGAGCCTGGGGTCAAAGGGGGAGGCCCCAGGTGACCCTGAGCTCCACCTGATACTGCCACTTTGAAATGCTGCAAAGAGCCAGGTGCTGGGCTGTTGCTGCACTTCCAAGGGGGAGGCACCCTATTGACTAGTCAATGCACAATGTATCAACTATTCAGTTAGTCAGTTACTTGCTATGTCCCAGCCTGAGGCTTTTCGCTGGGAGGGGGGAGGGTTGTCGCTAGTTGAAAGGGGATTCAAAGTTGAACTTGGCTTCCATTCCACACTGCAGAACCAAAGGGTGATTTTTGAGGTGGGCCCATGAGATGCTTCTGTTTAAATGACTACGTTGGTCTTATCTGGCACTTGACCTCCAGCCACCACAGTGTGTCTTAACACCAGGGACAAAGACAAATTATTGATTTTCTGCACCATCCCAGTGGGGCTGCGTGGAGCCTGTAGCAGTGTAACACTCAGGTATATCGAATATTTCCTGTTTGCCAGCACTCTGAGGCGGGGTTTGGTTTTGATCTAACCTTGCAGAGAGATGAATCTGGAAGAGCTGTGAGGGAGGCCCAAGGCACGGCTCTTGGGGGTAAATTCTCTCTCAGAACAGACAATGGTTTCCGTTAAGTCGCTTGTAATTATAGCACTGCTCCTCCCACCTGAGGTACCGTGCCCTTCGTGCTTGTTGGCAGCACAGGTCTCCGAGGAGACACTGAATACCACAGGGCACGTCCAAAAGGAAAACATGGCTACAGCGCTCAGCCAGAGGTAGAGACAGGACTTGTATTTTATTTTTTAATAAATACACTTTACATTGAAGAAAGGCCTTCAGTTCTGCGGTTTCCACAGCGGGTGTGAAAGGGAGAAAAAAAGATTTAAAAAAACTCGAATCACAGGAGGGGGGAAGGGGCCCAAATTGCAATCCCAGAGCCCCTTGTCTCCAGGAACACCAGGGTCACTGACTAGGATGGATTGTGCCAGGATTTCAGCCTCCCACGCTGGCTGCTATCACAGCAGGAACCTTTGCTTAAAACAGGTTGGAGGCTCAGTGACCCCTCGGGCTCTTCCCTCAAGCCAAGTGAGGCGCAGACAAGCTAGCAGCAGATGGCAACACCTGTTAAAAACAATTCTCCCTTCTCAGCAATTTTAGAAGCCATGATTCTCTTCGCTCGTTTCGTACTCTGAGTAAAAATGCCCTTTTTGTTCATTTTAAACAATTTTTCTCCCCCAAAACCTACCCCGTGGTAACAAGGTCCTAGATTGGTACAAAGTTCAGGCCCTTTTTACTATAACACCTGCCTTTTTTTTTTTTTTGCCTTTTTTGTTTTATATAAAACTATTTTTGTTCTTTAGGAAAGAACTTTATACAAAGAAAATATATTCTGAAATCGCTTCAGAAGTTTCCTTGCAGAGGAGAGTCTCATCTCAGCCTAAAATTAAAATTAAAAAAAAAAAAGGCAGAGAAAGAGAGGCCTAACCCCTGGTCTGTTTATTCAAGCGCCACAGTCTGACCCGAACCAATGGGCTGGAGTTCCTCAGCTGTTCCCAGGGGTGCTCAGAAACTGCTTCGAGTTGGTCTCTTGTCTTCTGGGAAGAGAGCATCTCCTGCCGCCAACACCCTGCATGGTGGTCACTCCTCACTCATTCAGAGACAAGATGATGTCGTCTTCCAAGTCAGAGTTATCTGAGCTGTCAGCTGGAAAGGGGACACATGGGTTATTTGTTTGGTGTATGTCAGAAAATGCAGCTGTCAGGCTGGCCACATAAGGGACCCTGTCCTGCCATCAGTCCGTTACAGCACACTGTTCCACGGACCAGTGAGCTCCTCAGCATTAGCAGCTAGACACAGCCTGTAATTGTACGGTCAGTCCGTTACAGCACACTGTTCCACAGACCATCTGCTCCAGCACACTGACCACGGACCAGTGAGCTCCTCAGCATTGGCAGCTAGACACAGCCTGTAATTGTACGCAGGCCAGGAAGTCGACTGGCATAAGCGAGTGCACACTTGGGTTTTAGTGGGTACAGATCAGGTCATCTGACAAATCCACGGCACAAGTGGGTCTGGAATTTGCCACCAGGCAGTTGGTTACTCCGACACGAGCTCTTTGGGAACACACGGATTCTAGACGAGCACAACACTCACACTAGAGCCTCCCTCTCGCACACCGGTCACTAGCTCGTTATGTGGCAAACGGGACCAAAAGCTGAGCAGTCGGCTTTGCAGGAAGCACTGGTGGGACCTCGCTAGGGAGGAAAGTCCGTAACTGCATATACTTACACTGCCACGTGCAGCACCCCACAGAGCACTTCACAGCCAGTTAGCTGCACAGCACTCACTAAAGGTGATCTGTAGAGGGTTTCTAAAAACTAGGCTCTTGCCCTTTTGAGCTTTGGGAGACAGAATGAAGACAAAGTATTTGCCTGCCCCACCCCCATGACAGAGCAGTCCAGTCTCCTTCCATTGCGCTGCAGGGAAGTATAAAGTGTCAGGCGCCCACCTGAGTTCTCCAGCCCTAGGTGACACGACGATTGTCATGTCAGAAGGTTTACCAAAGATGGGCTTTCTCCCAAGTATTTGTTGGGTGCTATAGTTAACTAGGGGTTAAAGCCATTTTAAAGAGTAACCAAAACTCACTTCTCTCGGCTTCCAGTCTCTTATGACTTCTCTTACATTTCCTGGGCTCTCCTGAGAGCCATCCAGCTAAGCAAATAGTCATAAAAAAGGAGACCAACTTTTAAGGCCTTTTCAGAAAAGAAAAAGGCAGCTAAGGACAGAAGCCCGTCCCCTCCCACTCCACGCACACCCCTGTCCCTTTTTAGGTACCTTTAATACAGGTAGGAAAAAGGTGTTGGCAAAAGTCAAAGAAACGTTCCATGTTCTGAACTACCAGAATCACAAGCTCCCTACTAAGGCCTCTCAATGTTGCGCCGGCTTCTCCCGCCCCCAGCCCCGCCGGAGCACTTAACAGGTGGACTCCTTTCAACTCTTCCCTCTGGGACCTATTTCCAGAGTCCCCATTTATCCAGGGGAAGTGTTTACAGCAAGGCTCCCTGCTGCCACACATCTCCCAAGTTTCAAGAGAAAGTGCAAGTCAGTCCAGCTGCGTGTGCTGCCCTGAGGCTGGGCTAGAGACACTAGGGAGAGGCTGCCAGGGAACACCAGTACGGCCAACAGAGACCAGTACAACTGGGGGCAGGGGACAAGATGCATCCTACATCTCCAGACTGTGATCTGTCTGAGGTTCAATGGCCTCCCCATGGTCGGGAACCTCCTGGCCACAGCCTCCTGCAGGCAGAGGACCGGATGGCTAAGCAAGTCCGAGACGCGCACGGGACCTGGACCTGGACCACACTAGCCTGACAAAGCCAAGACCCAAAGAGAGGAGCCACCCCCAGGCCCAGTAACTGTGCATGGGCCAGCTGGCCAGGGCCTGGCTGCAGATTCTGTTCTTCACTAGAGACCCCAAAGAGGCCGGGGAACCTCC